ATTTTGCATATTAAAAAATTACATAATTAAAGATCCTTTTATGTGGCGATATTGCATTTATATATATGACTATAAGCCGTCGTTCGTCGCATAAGTGCTCTTAAATATTCGCTAACATTGTTGCATAGAAAATTATTTAAATATCAAGAGGAACATTTGCTACTTACTAGTTTTTAATTCACTGGAGGAGTTCCTTTGATTTGAAGGGTTAAATAAGCAAAATACAGTTGTAATCCGGCTCATTGATACGTCTGCTGAATAAGCACTGAATCTTCAGTCCTTTGTTCACGCTACCTTTTCCAAACTCAAATTTCATCCTGATTTCTTTGCGAATTCTAGCAAACTTCCTAATACAGTTTTATCTAAACTGTCTCAAATCGCGAAAAAGCTGTTCCCCACAAATTTCAGAAGTATTTGCAGTAGAGCGGACACTCACTCGGGTTCCATCTCAACTTCGTCTCAACAGCTTCTGCAAAAATATTTATGCGGGGCTCCGAACCCGACGGACAGGGAGTCAATAGAGGGCGGAAATGGAAAATCTTAACGAAACTTGGTATATGTAGCTCTTTTGAACGTAGGATGGATGAGGTATCGGGCTATAACCACGCCGACCTCCCATATAACGGTAGTTTTCAGAAATACGAAAACTGTGATATTTTAGTAAATACTGAATCTTATTCAATCAAAATTGATATTTGCAATAATCTCCTGGAGGAAAATACTAATACATATTCAGCCTTATTATGAGTTTCATTTTGCCCGAACCGGTTCACTTTTCACTCTTGGTTTCCATGGTTTTACTATGGGCGGATGACAAATTTTCGGGTGAATTTTTTTCAGGTGAAACTCAGGATAAGGCAGATTATAAATTTTTGGAAAATGGGCGTAGCCACGCTTCACCAATTTCTCCTAAATTTGGCACAGTTCCTGATCATGATGAAACATACTAAATGGCTGAAATTTTTTAAAATCCCATATAACAGTAATTTTGAGATATACGAAATTCTCGATAAATCAGTAAATACCCTGACGGAAACAAGTGATTTTTTTTTTAATCAACTAATTGAAAGACTACTTGAATTTGTATACTCTTTTTGTTCAAAAATACAATTTGTTTCTTGGAAGTATGAAAAAGCATTTGCGAAATCCAGAACGCAAGCGTATTCAAAAGAAACATACTGTCTTTGAAGTTGTGTAAACCAAAATCCTTTTGAAATTAAATGCAGAGTAGGACAGTCGACTTGCTACTTGCACGGAATTCAAACTGAACATTTGAAAGCACATTTATATGTCTGGCTGCGGCTGAGCGTGCAAAGATGTTTGCTACAATTGGTCGCAGCCAAGAATGTCCATGTTCAAATCTCATTTAATTTTAAATTTTTAATATCGGGGTTTCGTAGTTATCAAAAAGCATCTGTGTAGTGCAGAACGAAAACGTATTCAAACGAAAAATACTGACTTTGAAGTTATTTAAGCCAAATTCATTTTAAAGTAGTTGAAAATGCATGCAGGAAAAGGCAATTGACTGCTTCCTAGGACATCGCCATTTCAAACAAAAGAGTTCGTTGAAGGTAAACTAGTGAGAATTTCAATTAGTTATCATTGAAAATAAAGTAGTTTATAAATTACTTTCACACTAATTCAATTTCCTGCAGGGCACTGAACAGTGATCGGACTTCTACCACATTGTGGTAGATCTGCCACTTTTTTGAGCATCTACCCCATCCACCACTCAAGGTCTGAAATCTACCACATTTTCGCGTTTTTGAGTAGTTTTATTTTTGCTCTACATAATTTACTTAGTTTTAAAAATTGTCCAACACTAAACACTATATGGTAACAAGAATGATATAATACAAGATTCCGCATTCCCGGCGACGATGAAACTTCCCAAGTAAAAGTAAACAAAGCCGAATGGTAGGATAAAATAAACTGTAAAATAGTAAATTTTCTCAATAATAAATTTTTCGACAGGAAACGTGGTTTCATTATGTTGAATTGCAAAATATATGATTTATAAAAAGAATTAATAGCGAAAATGTTAAAAAACGGCGATTTTTGTGAAAGTATTAGCAAATTTAAATGCATCTAAATTTCTGAGGCGTTGTTTACATTTACTAATTGTCGAAATCGGCAAATCCCAATCAGCTGTTTCTGGAACGTGCCACATTTGTTCGCTACTTCGTGATGTGATAAAAAGAAAAGCTGGCAAGGTTGCAGAAATCTTTTAAAATATGTTCGAAAAATATCTTGATATGGAAGAAACCGCTTTACACTGTTAAGGAAAAAAATTGCCAAAACTCAACGCAATTTTTAGCAATTTCAATCTTTCACTTTATTATACTAAAATTAAATTTTTTTTCGGGTCTAATTAAAAATTTGCAATTTAGGTGAAACCTTGCGAAATTTGTTTAATTTTTGTACAAAGTTTGATCCAAACCCAGAGATCTACCACATTTTTTCCTGATTCTACCACACATAATTTTTTTAGAGTCCAATCACTGGTACTGAAGCGATTTTATTCAAAATTGACATTTGAAATAAAACTTTGGTACGAAATACGTTTAAAAAAAATTTTTGTAAAATGGGCGTAGTACCGTCCACTTATGACCACATAATATGTATATCTCGGCAACCGTTACATGAATTTGTACCAAACTCGGCCCATTTATTGTGTTGACACACAAAAGACGTTAAACATTTTTGAAATCGGACTAAAATTACGCCCACTTTTCATATAGCGGTAAATTACCGCATTTTGGGTTGCATACTACTATGCCAAGATATAGCAACAAAATCGATGAAACTTTACTTTTCCACTGAAAATTTTGTTTCACATAGTAAGATCTTATTCCGAAACTATGTGACCATCAGATGGCACCACAACGAATTAAAAAAAAAAATACCAGAAAATTAACAACCCTACTATACATTTGTGTACACACCCAGCAAAACACGATTACCACAGAAATGAAAGTGGAAACGAGCTAGGCGATGGGAATCGCTTACCCTTTCACTTCAAGAAGGCATTATTTTAACATGGGAATGTCATTGGCGGTAAGCCCTTACCCGTAGCATTACCTTTAAACGAAGGGAGAACGCATGGATAAACAGAATCCACAGAAGCGAACAAAGAATGCCTTACAGAGAAACTAATGTAGTACATACTTATTTATATTAAATTGAAATCAGAAAATGTCTTAAAAGATTAAAATTAAATAAATTAAACATACATATGTATGTATTTAGGTATTTAGATCCCTGCTAGCATTTATTACCGCGGAAGTGGGGAAAAAGTAGCTTCAAGAAGTTAAATTTCATCGCGGAAGTTATCGCTTTCTCATCTTTTTACTATCTTCCTTCGGGAAGAACTGTTCCCCGTAGGCGTTACGTCCACACTGACACACATGCGACACTACAGGAAGTGACTTCTTAGTGTCGTCTGGAAGAGTCAAAAGTGGTACACCCAAACATACTCGCATACGACGCTTCCGATAGTAACTTCTTAGTGTCGTGTGGGAGACACAGAAACGTTACGTAAAAATTACCCCATTTTTATTTACAGCTTAATGTAAAAAACTGCCATTATATTTGTTTAATTATTTTTTAACTTTTATTAACATTAAAAATAATAAAAACAGTTTGTTTAAATTATTCAGTTAAGTATAATTTGTTAACATTAGTTGTTTTCTTTTGTACCCGAGCTGCAAAAGAACGATAGGTAGGTAATCGAATTACGTGGAAAGCAACAACACAAAATAAGCAAGTTGAGTTAATATAAACGGTTTGAGTTGAAAATGCTTAAACAATAGCCGACCTGACGAATAGTGTTGCAAGGTAAAAAAGCGGCACTATTGTGAATGAGTCACTGAAAAGTACTAAGGGAAATTTCTGCTAAATGTCAAACTGATGGGGAAATTTCAGCCAAACTTCAAAATTAAGAGAAACAAAATGGAGCAGCAGTGAGTAAAATAGCGTCTCATAGTTTTTTATAAAAATATCAAATAAAATATGATTTATATTTCAGAATACAAGACAAGAAACGAAGAAGATGGACCCGCGAAGAAACCACAGGTTTTTTGAGGTGCTACCTTACGCGGAAGGAAGAATTCCAGCATCCTAAAAAAAAAGAGGTTGGCATACGCAAATGTGGTCAATCGGCATTACGGTGCGTAAAATACAAAAAATAAAAGTTTAAAATGAGGAATTAATTTCTAACGACCACACTGTCCACGTGGGCTTCAGACCGGCTACAGTACTGTCGGTGAGTGGAGTGGCGTCAACATCATCAAAGACGCCACAGCCATCTCTGTCACTGCTGCCACCGTCACCATCGCCAACTCCATCGCCACTACCACCACCGTCACCATCGCCATCTCCATCCCCACTGCCACCACCGTCACCATC